TGAAGTGCATATGTATTTATAGTTATCGTGATAGCTATTAAATATTTTTATATCATCATATTAGGTAAACTAAAGTTACGAGTTGCAAGTAACAAACGTGGTAAACTAAGGTATGTATGTATGAATACCATGTAGCATCAGAAAGTAAGTGACTTGAAACAGCCGCTCAAAGAGTAAAAGTAAATCGATGTTTTTGATGATGGTGTGGGGGACTAGCATCTATGATATTTGATATGTGGTGGACTGGCTATCTATCGCATATCTTCGTCGGACTTGAGGCTGCCCAGAGGATGCTCACTGTTGTTACCTGTTGAAGTGCATATGTATTTATAGTTATCGTGATAGCTATTAAATATTTTTATATCATCATATTAGGTAACCTAAAGTTGCGAGTTGCATGGCGATCGCGTAGTTGATTCTGAATACTTGATCGTTAGGTAAGTATTTGAAACAATTTTAGTTATTTCTTCAAGCTTGTTACACAACCGCAACTATCTAAATTACAAAATCGTTTAATACAGGTTTCGTGGGTCATTAAAGCAAAGTAGGAATTTTAGTAGGAATTTCACAATAGAAAAGAATATCTATAATATAAAATAATAATGTAATATAAAGATAGTAAAATAAAGAAAAATTATTATATACGATATTAAATTTGTAAGTATAGTTATGGATTATGAAATTGGAGGATAACGTATAAAGTAGGAATTTTGGTAAAATAATCAAAACCTTGGAAGCGCAAAGTTAGGAATCCTTAGGGGAGAAGGGAAGTGGTGTTAATGTTGATACTACAGGGTAGTAATTATTGTAGGAATCTCCAGATCAGTATTAATGTTACTAATTACATGTACCGGTACATGTAATTAATTTTATTATTTTGTTAATACTGATACATTACATGTATTATCGGAGTACAGAATTAAGCAACTTCGCATCACTCCAGAGTATTCCATAATCACGAGATTTTCGTTGCGATGGCAACAATAAACTGTAAATATAGTTCATGTACATGCACATTTAGAATCAAATACATTCGTAATGTTATTTTACGGTATCATACATGTACATGTATATATTCAATAATCTGATTCCAAACGTGATAATGTATTTGTGTTCTGTAAAATCCAAGGCGATGATATTTTCAATGAAAAATAAAGATTTTCATTGTTTTATTCTCTTGTATTAAAATTTCTTTTGAATTAAAAACATAAGAACCAATACTGTAGACTAGATTTTACTACAAATTGATATTGCATATTTATTTTAGCAATTTTGTTTTAATTCCGCATGTCTGTTTTATATGGTGTTTTGGTTAATTTGGCTTTTGAAAATCATGTTAGTTAGTGACATATGTATCAGATTCAATAATAATTGAAAAGTAGCATCCCTTTTAATTATGTGTATTCATGTATTCAAATAAGATATATATCTTCTAGAATAGACATTCTTGTTATATACGATTCGAAATACAAATAAATGTGATAGATAAAATTATAATGGTATATATGCACAAGAAACGTTGGTTTTTGTGCAATCTTTATTTCATAGCCATCGCAACGGAAAATCCCGTGATCACTAATATTGTAGTTGGTCCAAGTTTGCAGTAATACAATTACATTTAGTAGCAACCTGAATCTAATTTGATTGTATCAGAAAAAGTAGCTTTAATTTTTAAAAAATGAGATTTTTTACCCATTTATAATATACATGTACATGTGTTGTTAATTTCTAGGTAATGGCTCAAAAATCGGAAGAGAAACTTATTATGTGCAGTCGCCATAAAAAGCGACGCCGATTTTTTTAAAAAATAAAATTTCAATATATTTCCGAAGTATTTTATTAATGTCTTATGTAAATAAAATCTTTTTACCACTATTAAAACATCGTTAGCCCTTTATATAACTTTAATAACGCTTTGCTTTCTTGAGGTATTGAGCCTGCAACCTCAAAAACAACACACCGAATTTTGTTCATGTTTCTTTTAGAGTAGCCTTGAGCATTTTCACGATCCTTGAAAACTTTTACATTTTTTAATATTTGTTCTCCAATGACTTGCAGACATTTCTATGAAATAGGGTCTCGAGAACATGCCAATCGCTGATCTTCTCTATTTGAACCTATTTCACGACTTCTTTCCCAAGTAGAACAAGTTTTATTTTGCTGAAAGCTCATGTTTCTCAAATCAATAAACATATTATATTATGAAAAGGGATGAAATTACCTTAGAGAATCTTCAGGTAAGCTTTTGCACAAATTGTTATTGTGAAATGGCTTAGGTTATCTTTTTGAATGTGCATTTTTTTTCTTGTTTGTTAAGATCTTGTGGCCTTCCAGACCGTGATAATTTTTGTGTTTCCTATTTTTTTTTGTATTCGGCAAGAGACCATTATGAATTATGGCACATTTTTCTTGCAGCTTGCTTGGCACTCATAACTTCAATAAAAATTACTATTTACCCTTGCCAGCTGAGTACAATTATTATTATATACGGCGCAAATATAATATGTTGACGATTACAAAATGTACTTATAAAAAAGTTAGAAGTCAAAAGAGAGCCAGAGAGTTTATGGAATTCATGGGATTTGTTTTTACGTTAACACATGATAGATCAATATCTACGTTTTATCTGGACGAACAAACTGTATTGATATCTCTACCTCCAGTGTACAAGTTTTGCACGATAACTTTTATGAAAAATTGTTATTATTTGTAATGCACAACTAATATTATTGAGTATAATGATAATGCTAAATTATATAGTAATATTATTCTTTTAATGATATCAGGTAAGAGATTTATAAAAAAAGAACTATATTATATATAGTGGCCATTATAAATAATATAACATATGGATAAAAATTTTTAAATTTACTTATTTTCAAAAAATAACTAATAAAATTGAACTTTGAATTTAAAATATAAGTTTAAGTTCAGTTCAAGTTTGAGCTTGAACTAAATCAGATTTTTTTGAAATATTATATATAGTTCTTAAATAGTTTTAGAGTTTTAAATATAAATTAAATTATTAATTATGATAATTTAATAGTTAATTAAATATGATTTTATCTTATTTAATTTTTTTAACCATCAATTATGAAATTTATATATAAGTTTTGTGAAATATGTATTTCATTATTTTTGATATTTTTATGTTAATCAGTATTACATATTTAAGACTAATACAAATATAATTAAATAGATATTTTTTATTAAACTGTTTTTCATAATAAAATAGCTTTTTAGAATACACAAAAAAACTAAATGTCATATTATGCCAAAACAAAGAATAGAAATTCTTATTATTCTCAAGAAAGATTATAATACTAAGAGAATAGCACAAAGATAAAATATTAGTGCTTCTACCATCACCTATATTAAGTAAAGATGGCAAAAGAAAAGCACTTTTATTACTATTGATAGACCTGGTCATTCAATAATAATAAATAAAAAACTAAAATGAAAAATTATTAATCTCATCCTCTTTTATAGATGCTTGATGGCTATTGAAGTTTAAAATCACTTTCATAAACTGAAAATATGGATATTTTTACATTTATTATCTGTTTATATACTTAGTGATTATGAATTATTATCAAGAATTAAATGCAACATCAAAAAAGTATAAAAATTGAACTAAAAAAGATTGAACAAGAGGAATTTGGTCAGATAAGTCAAATTTTAATATTTTTGAATCAGATGGATACAAATATTATTGGAAAGAAAGAGAAAATTATTAAAAAACTCATATATTAAATCTATTATTAAATTTAATAGTGAAGAAATAATGTTACTACTTATGATATTGGCAATCTTTGTAAGATTGAATGGATAGTACATTATATAAGAAAACTCTTTCAGAGAATCTTTTACAAACTATTAATAATTTTAGTAATGTGCTAAATGATATCATTTTTTTACATGATAATGATCCCAAACATATACTATTGAAACCTATCAATGGTTCGTCAATAATGCAGTTAATATTCTCAATTAGCCACTGTAATCTCTAGATTTGAACACCTATGAAATGTCATTGATTGTTGTTTATGTCATCTTCTGGGATGGAGAGGGGATTTGTGAGAAAATCCGGGACGTGTGAATGTCAAGACATGCGTTTGTCTCATCGAATTTATGCCAAAAAGAATTGCTAATGTAATAAAGACCTGCCAGTAGCTATACAAGAATAATGCAACACCAAAAATTGAATAAATTTGGTGGTTACAAAAAATTTAACTAAATAAATTATTTGAATTGGTAACGGTAACATTTTAAATAATGATTGTGCTCATTTCCAAATGAAATTTTATAAATAGGAAGCGGTAAATTTAACGTTAAATATATCGATATCTGATATGGGAAAATTTATTACGTTATGTTGTTCAATAGTATTGGTACTATATGTTGCGAGGATTGCGAGGACATAGAATCAAAAGAATTTACAAAACTATAATTAATATAAATACATGGTCTTTCAAACTTCAAAAGGGGTCAATTGAGAGGATTAATAAAAATGTTTCAAGTGTTACAATAATAACGATAACAATAATAAATTACATGCAAACATATTCATTCGACATATTTGAAGCATGTTGTTATAGTTTCTCCAGTTGGCGAATTTTTCACACTTGCTTTAACCTCGGTTGTTCCAAAAGTCAGCACAAGCTCCATTGGTCGACTAAAATGAGCATTTGGTGTCTCGATTCTCAAAGTAGCCACTAAAAAAACACCTTCTTCGTCGCAATAACGAGTTTGGTCATTACTCGCCGCGAATAAATTCATTATGTACTCAGTTTGATCCATCACAAATTTGTGTGTAACTTTTACATCGACATCAATTAGGGTATCGCGTTTTATTAATGGCTTGAATCGGTAAATACGTCCATCTTTGGTTAATCTTTTCTTTGGGTCGAATCCGGGTTTGAATTCGTCGAGAATTTTGATTCCGTATGTATATCTTAGTCTACGGTTTTGTATTGTGTTAAGTCCTAAACAATAAAGGAGATACAATTAATTTAAAGAAATTTATCTTAAAACAACATTAATTCCGAATTATTACCATAAGACACTGCACCGCAAACAACAGCAGCAATCGGACAAGGCGGAACAGCGATTACACTAATCGTCTCACTAAACAATTGTCTAATCTTCTTTACTAAATAAGGCGACTCACTAAATCCTCCAACAAGAAAAAGAGCATCACACTCTCGTTTTGATCCCTCCAACTGCCGTTCAATCAAATCAATAATACGCTCTACCACAGGATCAAACATTCCTTTCACATCATCAAACGTAATTTCAATCAGCCAATCGGCCTCCTCCATCTGTTTCCTCCTTTCTTCGTCTACATAATCTAATACAGCCGGACAATAACATGGAACACCAAGTTCAATTGTGTGAAATGATACGCGCTCGCCGTCGAATGGGCATTTGACGCGAGAAAAGAAAAATTTTTGTATTAGATATTGCATTTGTTTATAATGGCTTTTTTTCAGTTTTTCAATAGCGTTATAACCAAGTTTTGTCTTCAGGAACCTCGTAAACTCGCGATCGATAAATGTCGAGCCGCATAGATCGCTAGATCGTTCAATGATTTCGCTTAGCTTGTTGTCTAATAATTGTCTTATAGTTATGTCGACTGTGCTCCCGCCGCAATCAACAACCACAAAGTTTGCTAAACATACAGTATATGCACTATTTAATAATGGCATAACAATAAATCCTATAATTTAAGAAAATAAAAATTACCTCCTGGTTTTAGATTATGCTCCTTTAATATAGACATGCAATGTATGGCAGCAGCTTCAGCTATTTGTTAAATACACAATAGAGATTTAGTTTTTTCTAGAAACCAAATTTAAAAAAATTAATTCAAATAACATACATTCTGTAATAAAATTTAAATTTCGTGAATTGATATTATCCAATAATCCAGCATTATAGGCCGCCTTTTGTAGCACGTTTCTTGTATTTTCTAAGTGTAAATATTAAATAAAAAACTAATTTAAAATAGCGAAAAAGCAGAAACTTTCTTCACCATGCCATTCTGCGGGTACAGTCAAAATTAACTTAAATTGTCGCGGAAATTCTAACGCTGGCCAACGAGTTTTCATTTTTTCCTTAATAATCTAGTCATATTGATTGATATTAATTAGAACAAATCAGAACAAAATAGTAGTCAGAAAAAACGTATATATACCTTTTGCATTTCTGTTAAATAATCAGTTATCGCTTTTACATGATCTAATCCCTCAGGAAGCCAAGGTTTTTCCCAAGATCTCAAAGAAGACAAATGCAATTTAAACAACTCTACTGGATGCGACTCTGCCCTTTGTGTTGACGGACTTCTTACGGGCTTTTCAACGAGAGCTATTTGACCCCATTGCAATACATTCCAATCTTCATCATATTGCAAAACCGTAGGAGTTTTAAAATAGTTGAGAAGACCAGGCCTTATAAAAAATATTAATAATTGTTTATACTTAATTTAGCTTTTGATTTTTATTTACCATTTATTATTTGTCTCAATCTCTGGATTCTTTGTATCTGCGACAGCAAAAGTACTATAAGTAACACCGAAATCTGAAGAAACAAGATGTTTGTTAAAAATATCATGCTGAACTCATATTATACTAAATTAAATACACGTACCAAGTGCGACAACAATTCGAATATCATTTAATGCTGCTGCTGCTTCTGCTTCTGATACCATATTCATAAAGGTATATCGATTTTATTGCCAATAGAAAAGGATAAATTTTGTTTTTTAACGTCAAGCAATATGCACCCCTATTGATCTCGGCAGACAAAGTCTGGAATCGGGAAATGACCAGCAATGTAGATTGTGAATTTGTGATACATGTACTTATATTATTTCATTCAGTAAAAGTAATATCGGATTTGCATCATTTACAGCTTGCACTCTTGGCATACTTTCAACCAAATTTCTTAAAATTTCTGGTTCAATTACTTCCCATTCCTCCGCAAGTACATATCAGTTCTTGGGTGATTTGGATGTTGACGAATTCATTTTTTCAAAACATCTCACAAATGCTAAATTGGATTTAGATCAGGACTCTGGGCAGATCATGAAAATGAAGTAATTAAATTTTCTCTTTCCATTGACTAACTGTACCAAATCTGCAAACTGGAACATTGTCATCTTAAAAATGATGAACAGAATTATCTGGCAAATCATTTAGAAATGGCAGAAGATTCTGTTCTAATATTTTTATATACTTTATATTAATAATTTCACTCAACTTTGATCAAAAATACAACATCATTGTCACAAATAAAAATCATAAAAGAAATTATTAAAATCATTAAAATAACTAGAACTAAGAAAATCATATAACAGAATAAAACAAATCAAAAATACAAAATAAATATGATTAATTATTCAAGTATAATTATCAAAATTAAAGTATATTTTATTATTAAATATCTTTAATTTGACTTTTTACAATAAAAGACTATAATTAAATCTTTTATAATTATTGCAGTCAAAAAAGCAAAATTATAAAGAAATATAACTATAGAGAGATTTTTTAATTATAATTAACTAATAATTGAAAAACTCAAAAAATATAATTATAAAAATTTAACTATAGAAAGATGTAATTATAAAGAGATCTGGCTATACTTGTATTTATATATTTTTTAAATTATATAATTATACAAAATAATTATTAAATTTAAAGAATATTAATATTATTAAATTAATATTAAAATAATATTAAAATAATATTATTAAAATAATAATACAATATTATTATAATATTAAATAAATCTTAAAAGTAAATAATTTAGAAGATAAAATAGAAAATAATATTAATTTAGAGGATTATTTATATAGAAATTAAGAAAATAATTTATTAAATTATAAATCTAATATAATTTATAAAATTAAAAAATTAAGAAATTAAATAATATTTTATAATAATATTTTTTATATTATTTCTAAAATTACTAAATTATTTTTATTAATAACTTTAAATTATATAAATTATTTTTTATTATAATTTTAAATTTTAATATTAAATTTATTAATTATTCTAAAATTATTATTTAAACAAATTATTATTATATTAATAATTTTTTATTTCTAATTAAATAATTAAATTAAATATTTTAATTATATTTTAAAAGAAATATTAAGAATTTATTTTATAATAATTAAACTTACTAAAATAAATATTTTATTATTATTAAATTAAATTTATATAAATTTTAACTAAATATATATATTTAACTGGAATATTATTGATATTTTTATATATTATTAATATATTTCTTTAATACTAAAATAATATTATTAAATATAAAAAATCTATTAATAAAAACTCAAAATAAATAATTAAAAAATATTAAAAAATATTATTATTAAGAATTTATTAAAAATAGTCAAGTTTTACTTTTTATTTATAATATTATTAATTTTATAAATAAATAATAATTTATTAAGAATTTATATTTAAATATATTAAATTTTTATTATTATTAATATTATTTTTTTATTATATAATAACTTCTATATTTATAAAATTAAAAAATTAATTTTATTAATAAAATATTATAAAAATTAAAATTTTCTCTCTATATTAAACTTTATAATTATTTTAAGTAATAATTTTTATTTTTATATTAAAATAAAGCTTATAAATTATAGTTTAATATATATTTTTTTCAAATTTTTTAAATTTTTTCTGAAAGTATTATTTTAAATATAAAGTTTATATAAAAATTTTATTAATTAACTTTTATTTTTAATTAATAAATATATTTATATTAACTTTATAATTAAAATAATATTTTTAAAAAATATAATAAACTATAACTTATAAATTTTATTTTAATATAAAAATAAATATTAGTTTTTAATAAAATTATAAAATTTAATATAATAATTTTTCTATATTTTATTAATAAAATTGATCTTTTAATTTTATAATTATAAGAATTACTATATATAATATAAGATTTTTTATTAATAATTATAAACAAGATAAAATACAATATGAATAATTTTAATTTTATATAACCTTCTAGTTATGTAATATAATATATACAGATAATTTATACAAAAAGTCAGGATATAGAATTATATCAGAAAAATTTATATAGAAAATTCAAGATATATAGTGATATTATTGAAATAGAATTTATACAGAAAACTAAATCAAAAGCAAACAAGAGATTATGTTTTAAAACTTATTCTTTATTTGATACTTTATTTCTTATTACTTATTAAAATTACAAAACAGATATAGTATCTTTAAATAATAAATTAATGTTACATAAAATTAATAATAAAATAAATAAAT